ACACCATTAAATCTCTCGCTTTGGCTGGACAAACGTGTCTCAATTCCCTGTCAAAACACTCCCTTTACACTTTTGCGAGTCTTCGCAACCGAAGGCCAGACTCCACACAGTGGTGCCTGACAGTAGTAGGCATATTCGTTTCTTGATAAATTTCAATGGTTTGAAAACTTACGATGTCTGGTGGAGTACTCAACTTATCATATAAAAACATCTGTTGATGAGAGCAAGGGAAAGGCCACAGTTTCCTAACTTGTTGTGCAATCGGCCGAATTTTCCGCACAACAGCACAATCTACGATAGTTCGTATTGAGCGGAGTATTGGAGCAAGTCGAGTTCGTCGTCAGACCAGACTGATAGACACAGTTGTTGGTCGCAATGTTGATGAAGGGCGAGTTTCTATTCCCCGAACGGGTGAAAGAGCTACAAAATTCACTTGGAAGACCTAAAGCTTGCTCAACAAGATAAGACATCTTTTGAACTGTGTTGACCGCATTGAGAGGGCCTGCTTGACACGAGAACCCTGCTGAAGCACAAACACTAGAACAAGATTCCAAAGCGGATGATAAAAACCAGCCAGGAGAAGAAGGTGACGTCGTCGATGTCGATGTCACAGAAGTCGTGGAAATGGCGGGCATAGTAGACGTCAAGAGCGTTGTGGACATAGTGGATGTGGTGGATGTTGTGGACGTCGTGGTCATAGTTGAGGTTGTGGCAGTAGTGGATGTGGTGGTAGTAGTGGTAGTGGTTGACGTCGTGGTGGACGTAGTGGACGTTGTGGAACTGGTGGACGTTGTCGAAGTAGAGGACGTTGTGGACGTTGTCGAAGTAGTGGATGTTGTGGTAGTGGTTGACGTTGTGGAAGTAGTGGTAGTGGTTGACGTCGTGGAACTGGTGGACGTAGTGGATGTTGTGGTAGTGGATGACGTCGTGGAAGTAGTGGATGTGGTAGTAGTGGAAGTCGTGGATGTTGTGGAAGTAGTGGAAGTAGTGGAAGTAGTGGTAGTGGTTGACGTCGTGGTGGACGTAGTGGACGTTGTGGTAGTGGTG